AGCGGCCGGCGTCTTTCCTCCCACACCACTCAACCTACATACATTTTAATAAAAGTGAATAAAAAGTAATGTGGCGTATTGGTTAGCGCTTCTGCCTTGCAGCACTGGGGGTCCCCGGTTCGAAACTCGCCCAGGTCACTACAAGGAGCTTGCATATTCTCTGGGTACTCTGGTTTCCTCCCATACTCCAGAGACATGCTTGAAGGTTAATTGGCTCCTCTCTAAGTTGTCCCGTGTATGTATGCATGTGAGATAGGGACCTTAGATTGTAAGCTCCTTGAGGGAAGGGACTGATGTGAATGTGCAACTATGTAAAGTGCTGCGTAAATTGTCAGCGCCATATAAATACCTGTAATAAATAAATAAATAAACGTGTCTTCCTCAGGAGCACAAATAAGGATCTAACAGTAGCAAAGGTGTAGCGAATGACAGAATGCTTAGGTTAAGTTAATGGGACATCTTTAGCACAGCTGCAGAGTTTCTTGAATGGTCCATTTCACTTCTTGCCCAGTCCAGCAATTTCAAATATTGGGAGTTAATATTGGGGTTGCCCAGCGCAACTTAAAACACCCACCGGGCACTCGGACACCAGAGCTTAACAGCTGAGTACATAAGAGCGGTTACCAAAGAACTCACCAGCTCAGAAGAATAAAGCCAGGGGAATTTCTCAGCGAGCTGCAGAATCTATACCTGTCAAAACCTGCTTCTGAAAGCAATGACAGATGCCCTGGAACATTGCAACGCATTTTGACACTAGTAGCCATGTGATGGGAACATAAAAACCACCAAACATACCAAAGAACTCACCAGCTCAGAAGAATAAAGCCAGTGGAATTTCGCAGTGAGCTGCAGAATTCATCCCCGTCGAGACCTGCTTGACAACGCAATGGCAGCATGGCCCGGAACAGGAATTTCAAACAGTGTTTGACCATTTCTCAGCATTTGTTAGAATGTGGTCATGCGTGAACATTTTTTTTTTAAATCACGCTGCAATGCAGTGCAGGGACCTGGATAGGCTTTATTGAAACTTATTTTCTGCTTGCTGAATGTTCCTGTGCAATATACTACATCTCTAGCTACAAATCGGGCAATGAAAGGCCACATATACAGTTCAGTGTCATGCTGCAAACAGAACATTTCTACATGGAGAGATGGGACTTTCTGCCCCAATGATATCAAACAGAGCACAGGGTGGAGAACAATCTTTGAGAAGCACAAACTGCCGTGCATCATTTCATGTAATACTGCGCTCTGTTTGATATCATTGGGGCAGAGTGGCCCATCTCTCCATGTAGAAATATTCTGCTTTTTCCAATATTGCTTGGAACACAGAATTCGTCTTCACTGTGAGAAAATGTGTTCAGCATGATACTAAACTGAGCACGTGGTCCTATTTTTTTACGTTTACGGCCTATCTTCTGTTAGCCAACATGCATTGTACAGGAAGCCTGGTCATTATCTGTGACTGTTCACTCATGAGCAATTAATCACATTGATTTATTATGCATTGCGTTGCCTTTTTAGACATGACACTGCATTTTCTGAGGACCCCATTCAACTGGCATGAACATAACTACAAATCAATCCTTTTAATATACCGCATGCAAAATTCTGTCATCAGAAGCTGTACAGAAGAAGTCTTTGTTCAGACAAGTTCTGCTTTTATTTTAGGTGTACCTACTGCATAATACTGTGCCAGATGCTGGTTTATGGTGACTAGGCTGCATTTGATCCTACCCGGAATATGGTTGCTATAGGCAACAAAGTCACATTTCTATACCCAAGTTTTAAATCAGGGACGATGCTACATACACCATCCATAGCCTTTGCTGACAGTACGTGTCTATTTCCCTCTTGCATACTGAGCTCCTAGGGCACAGGGATGAATTCAATGAATTCTTATTTATAGGCTCTAATGTCAGTTATTTATTCAGATTTATGTACATAGGAGATATATTTTGATACACTGCCATGGGAAGTGTTCACTGAAGTCTCACATGCACAGCCAGGCTGAATGTGACCTACAGAAGGATTCACAAGAGATTAGAAGGATAATACAAGCCTGCAGCCATATTTTGGTAGCCTGGTTAATAAAGAATTTAAAATATTCTAATTTGCAGAATAAAAAGAAAAGGAGGAATCTATTTATACAACACAAAGCCATTACCTGTCTAAATTATATCAGTTTATATGTAAAGCAATCTAATATGTTACTGGCCTTTTGTCTAAGTCAAAGCTGCCACATTTGAAATTCTTAAGTAAACCACGACCGAACAATTTGCAGGATCTCACAGTGGACATTGATCAGTTTAAGATTTTTGTTTCCATCTGGCAGTCAAGCAGTCAGTGACTACAAATGCACAGCGTGGCATGTAAATCGATTGGGGGAGGAATTACTACAAAGCATTTTAGTATTTAAAAATGTCAGTGTGAAAAGTAGCAGAACATGAAAATTTCACCTTCCCATTAAATCAAAGCTTGGACAACTGTGTTCTGCTTGGATAGAAATGCAAGAGTAATAGAAGTTGCAGTGAAGTCAGGATGATGATTATCCAGACCACAGCCTCTATTATGTCAGCTCTACAATTGATCGGGCCAAGGCAGAATATGTATTAAATATAGGGAGTGTAAAATGTACAATTCGCAACACTTGTACAATTCTCAATGTCTCACGCCGTCTCTATAGATCGAGAGCTGAGTGATCACAACAGCGCAGCTTTTATTATCAACTTTATACATATACAGCTGTATATCTGCAGTGTAGGAGCTATGACATTGCAGAAAAAATATGTGTACTCATACAGGGACATGGACACTTATTAGAATTTAAACCCTTTCCCACCTCAAATTAAGTGAATATTTGCTAGACTCAACAATCCATAACTATATTTCTGGATCAGATATGACATTACTCCATGAGGCTAGCAGTCAGAGGGAGCAGTATTTGGTGATGTCACTACTGTACTGCTCACTTGTTTCTTCACTGGAGGCAAGGCTCACATGAGGAAGCAAACCCCTGCCTCTACCAAGATTGCCACCTGCCCACAGAGACACCGTGAAGAACAAGGCATGATAAGTCAACAATGGGAGAAAGATAACTGCAAGACGGCCACAGGCAATAGTGACTAGTTCTTGGCCCTCTGCTTGCCTTTTCTAGGCACAGCTTCCAAAGTTCAGCTTCTGTTTAATTTGAATATTTAAGCTTAGTGCAGGGCTGGACGAATCCCAGGAGACAGGTAACCAATACAGCTGGCACCTAAGCTTGGAGGTTTTCTCTAGTTGTTGTCAACCTTGCATCTATAAAAAACAAAAAACATCCTGGAAGGAAGAGACTGGCTGCTGGATTAAATATTCATTTGCCCACCCCTGGCTTAGTGTATGTTAAAGGGTTATCAAACCCTCACTTTTTTGCATACATCTACTGCTAGCAAGCAGTAGATATATGAAAAAACTTAAAAAAACAAACCTTTTCAAACAGGTTTAAACTTACCTGTGTCTTTGCCGCACACTCTCGTCTGAACATCTGAAAATGTCTCGGGCGGCCGCAAAGAATTTCGGGGCGGGGCGCATGCACAGTTCAGATGTTCGGCCGGGAGAAGAGGAGAGACACAAGGTAAGTGTATGGAGCAACGTGCACCCGCACAGACTCGTGGGACATGAGAGAAGGAGGACAGAGGGGTCAGAGCTGGATCGGAGACCAGCACCAGCGCTGGAGGGACAGCTAAAAATGACAGTAAGGAAGATGATCGGATTAAGAGGCATCATTTAAGCTAAGTCCTGACACTAACATTGGGGGGCGGGTGGGAATCCTTTAACTGCTTCCTTGGAGACCCCTGATGTCTCCATAAAGAGGACCTGTCACTTCTTTTGCTATCACATAAGAGGGTTTCTTAGCCCCCTATCTGATAGCAATAAAGTTAAGTGGAAGAAAAAATAGAAAAAAAAATTAAAGTTTCCCCCAAAAAATGTAAAGTTACACATAAAAAAGAATTAAAAAAAACAACTTTTTTAAAAAAGCTCCCACCCATACACGCATGCAAACATGCGTCATGTGCGCATGCCTACGAAAACGACGGTTGCGCCCATTACGCCACACGTTACATATCGCCGCGAACGTCGCAGTGAGAGCAATAATTCTAGGGCCATCAATCACTGATAACACTAAACTGATGAGCTGTAAAAGCTTTTCAAGCGTCGCCTATGGTCAATTTTGAGGATGGTAGTTTTTTGCGATTTCGCAGGTGCGCGCAATTTTTAAGCATGACATGTTTGGTGTCTATTTACCCGATGTGACCCCGTCTTTTATATTTTACCAAAATAATTGGGTAATAATAATTGTTTCACTAACAATGTAAAAAAAAAACAATTTGGGGACTTTTCCCGAAATATAGTCAAAAATAGAACCCCCCAGTGGTGATTAAATACCACCAAAAAAATGGTATAAAATCCATTTCAGTACAGCGTTGCATGACGGAATAAATGTCAGTCAAAGTACCGCAGTGCTGATTACTGAAAAATGGCCTTGCCAGGAAGGGGGGTATAAACACCTGGTCAGCAAGTGTCACTTTAAGAAAATATTCCCATACAATGGACCCCACCACCATCCTGAACTAAAAATAAGAAAGGAATCGATAAACATTCTGAAAGGTAACTTTTGAATGTACCATGCATGCAGGCTGGATACAGGCGCACACAAATACAAACATGTAGACACTGCAAGCACCACTAAACGATCTAATATTTCATAATAAAAAAGCAACAGCTTAATTTTTTTGTAACTAATGGGAAAGAATAAATGCCAAAATCTGTATTAATAGGAGCGCGGTCTGCAGAAGATCCCTGTGTTTGTTAAACAGAAGCTGCTCCATTAGCTGATAAATACTCCCAATGAGCGAGCAGATCAGCACAAGTAAACAGTGAAATAAATTATGCACAGTGGCTGGTTCGCTGCAATGGCCATTTCACAGTGTGGGATCTAGCAGAGTCATTAAAATGTGTACCTTACGCTGGCGATGCTTGGCGACTCCGCTCCCAGTCTGCATCTTTCTAGTTGATTGGCAACAATTTGTCTCTCCACCTCCAGCTCCCTGGTGAGACGTTCAAATTGCAGCTCCTGGAATTTCAAGAAAATGAGAATGAAGCCTCAGGTGATGTGGAAACACAATGCTTCATGCAAAGACAGGTGGGGACACAATAATCAGTCCTCCTCTGCCATACCCCATTTCTCTAATCCCACCCGCTAAACACATTTATTACGAGTTTTATAAAGCAGTACCATCCACCTCAAACCAATTTGGGCTGTCATTCAATGCAGCCATATTCAGGTGTAACAAGTTATGGCGAGTCATAACTGCTTATGAAAATAGAAGAGATAGAATATGTCAGCTCCAATGAGAGGCTTTTCAAACAGGTAGTGTTTTGCTCTAAGAAGATCCAAGCCAAATACATAATAAAACTCATAAAACATTTAACAATGTCATCTCAAATGTTGTCAATCTTCTTAAACATGCAGGTTTCATTAAAAAAAAATACCTGGTGATGCTGCCATTAAGCCCATTGTTTAATCACCTCCTGATATGGGGTGACAACTGTCTCCCAAATGTGCTCCTGCACTGTCACCCTGACTGATGCACAGGGGGGGAATGAGGACTCTGATGTGAAGAGGGGGTGAGAACTCTGACCTGAAGGGGGGCACATGATATGAAAGGCAGGTAAGGGGGGGGGGAAGGTAATTATTGGGGGAATTTATCAAAACTGCAGCAAATTCTGGACCAGATTTGCACTGCAACCAATCAGCTTCTCTGTCTCACTTACAAATCTTACCTGAGCAAACAGAAGAGAGATGCTGATTGGTTGCCATGGACTGCTCCAGATTCTGTGTGCTGCAGTTTTGATAAATTCCCCCCAATGTATTTTTTTTTTTGCATGAGGTCCCTCTTAAAATTAAAGGGGGGGCAAAAGAGTTTGCATACTTTTAAAGGGTGCCATGACTAAAAATAAGGTTGAGAAATGCTGTTTCAGTGTGGATGTAGCAGGTTGGTTGAAGCAGCACTTAAAAATGCAATGATATTTTAGTTTTAAGCCGTTATGAAGAACACATTGCTTGGTATTCCTCCACGACAGCACGGCGCAATGGTTCAGCAGCAACAGCAGTGTATCCACAGAAATTATTATAAACTGGTGCCGTTCTGTTACATCTTGTCTTAAAAAATGTCTTGCTTAGGGAAGTCTTTATTGAGGTGAGGTTTAAAAATGTCACAGAGTATTATATTCAGCGGTAATATAATCCATTTTATGTACTAGACTCTGTATCACTGTGCAAACAATAAGCATGTATTTTAAGATCAGCCTGTGTGCTCATTACACTTGATCCGGACCTTGGCTTGAAAAACGCAGGCAAAAAATAAAAAAGCAATCAAATGAATCTTCCCCGCTCCACATAAACCTTCCCCCCTTCACACACATGAATATTTGCATAAATCAGCCACTGAAGTCCAAATCTCCACCCATTACTGTCACTGATTCATTCATATACAGCCTGGTGGCTGGGAGAGATAGCTGAAATCCAGCGGAGGTAGCTGCAGCTGTACTGAGGGCGCACAATCCAGAATGCTATATTTTATCCAAATGATGTCCTGCCATTGTGTAAACACTGCAGTACTTAAAACCGGAGGGTCATTAAGAGATCGCTGGAAGAGCTACAACGTTAAAATTAATCTGTCATATGCAAAAGCAAAGTCATCCTGTTGTAAAGTCAATGAAAATATACAATTGCTTTAATGTTGTTAAATTCATGTTGATAACCAAACAGAGGAAGTTCAATTTTTTATTAAGTGAATCTTGGCTTTGTCCATACAGGGGGTGCTATAAGTTGCTGAGGATGATGAGGATTAAACCAAACCCGTGGATTTGCACTGAATGGGTAAAGTATGAGCTTGCTTTAGGCTGGCCATACAGTGTTAGAATCTTCACAGGAACCGGCTGAAATTCTAAAGATCGGGTCACACCATAATGTTGGGCTAAAGGCACAGTACCCATGCCTTTAATGCACACTATTGCATGGCGCAATGCACTGCCTAGGGATGCTGCGTTGCCAGTCATTGCACCCCAATACACCGCTCAGAGGGTGTGTGTTGCAGCACAACACACGGTACCATGATCCGTTTTGCTGAAAAAATTAGTACATATGTTCCTTTTTTCCTGTGCACTGCAAGGTACTGCAGTACCACCGCGCAGCAATGCACATTCACTGGGAGGCATTTTGGGTTGCCATTCAAAAGCATGGCAACACAACACACCAGTGGTGCACTATGCTGTGTGATAGCATGCACTATGTGCATGGGTACCAAGTCTTTAGCCAACTCTCAGGTGTAAACTGGATGGGTGGGCAGCCCTGCCAGCTCAACCGAAAAAGTTGATCACTCAATCAACTTTTGTCAAAGGAGCCGGGTCGAAAATTGACAGCCAAACAGTGACTGTTATAATACAATAGCCCGGTGGGGAAGATTTTTCCACCCACACTGCTTAGTGTGGTTGGAAGAAAGCTGTTCAAGAAATCTATGTAGCATATGTCCATTTTAAAGAAAATCTGTCACTACAAAGTGCCAATAAAAGATGCCCCATGTCAAAATAGTGGAACTTATCTCTGTTGCTGCCCGCGCCAAAAAATGCCACTATAATGAATATCTGCCTGATGTCTTTGGCACTAGCCAGAGTTTTGGCTTTCTGGTCCCCCTATAAGCTCAGTGGTTCTTCCCACCTACCCCAATGTGTTCTACAGTGATGTAGGGAGGAATCATTGAGCACATCAAGGGCCCAGGAGTATTCACCATCCTCTTTGCAGAGAGATCAATATTGGCACATATTGCTGCTAATATCATTTACTGTGTATTTTTTTTTTTTTTTTAATAAAGAAACATTACTTCTGAAATGTATAGCAGCAAGAAGAAACTAGAACGCTTACAAACTCCAGGCAGATCTTTTAATGGTAATCATTCCCAGGATTCAAGAGCCATAACCACTAAATCATCATAATATACAAACAGATTTAAGGGATGGATACAAATATAAACATTTTCAGCACATTCAGTTTTCAATGAATAAAATAGAAGTTGTTTTAACAAAGACTGTGAAATATTGAAAGGTACACTCCAGCCTAAACTGAAAATCAAGTCTTGATACATAAACACAGCCTACCTGCTCAACTCTTCATGTTTTCATCTGGATATTGCAAAAGGAAACCTGCCCTGCACTCCCTTTTTGTATATTATCTGGTAACACATCAGCTTGTAACTCTTGCCGTCTCCCACACACACACAAAAGACTAATGTAAAAACATTGTAGTACTAATAGGAAGGTGTTTCCGACAGCCACCAATCAGATTCAGACTTGACTTGGAAGCCTGAATGTGATTGGTTTTGCAGGAAGCAGTATGTGGATTTCACACAGGCTCTTCTACTGCCCTCCTACTGACCCTGCAAGGTGGCATGTGACTGCTGTGGGTGTGAAGAATTAAAGATAATTGTATTAAGGAAATATTGAATTCATTTTCTATTAATATTAAAACACAGTTATAGTTTGTTGGAATGCAAAATTAGCTCCCTGTTGGGATTCAGCAAGGAAGCCACAAAACAATTTCATGTCAATATTTTTGGATGATGGTGAGGCCTGCGGTGTGTTACAAGCCACTCCCGCCTGAAAAATGTTATTGGAAACATACCAGACCTGGGATGGGGAGCCAGAAGTGCTACACAACTCCTCACCTCCCATGGCTTCCCTGCTTTTAAGTGGCTGAGCACTATGGGAAATTTATTTGGCGTTTGTACTACTATATTTTTAGCTTTCAAGATACATATTTTAACCGTATTGGAATTTACAACAAAGCCTAAAAAAAAAAATAAGTTTTGCTTTAGTAATCTCAAAATGACCAAATATAAATGAGGAGAAGGCTAATTCAATCTAATAAGCGATATTCCACTTCGGGTTGGACAGTAATTGGATGCACCACATGCTGTTTTTACACTCTCAGACTCCAATTGTAACATTTGCACACAGCTGTTGATGTTGATCTCTTGGCAAAATATTATAATAATAATGATAACAATAATATGAAACATTCATTACAATTCCTGCAGCTCACGGACATGTCTTTATGTTTTATCCATTAAACCCCCCATAATGGTGGGGGAAAAGGAATTTAAAAAAAAGTGAATGGCTGGGCAAAAAAAACAAACAAAAAATGGTATGTGTTCTCTCACCTCCCGATCTACTGAGCCGACCTGTGACAGTTTATGAGGCGAGTGGAAATCACTCATGTCATAGTTCTCCTTTAATACATGCCTGCAATTTATGAACAATTTCCATGTTTTGTTGCTCTAAACCAGTGCAAGTACAGAAACATACCTGTTGGCGAAGAAATCCAAAGCGTAAAAGGAAAATAAAAACCTTTGTAATTCTCACTCACAGTAGAGATAATAATGTCAATTTGAAAGGGGCACTCACTGAGGCATGCTGGGAGTGGGATGGGTTATACTGGGCTATAGTAACAGCTTTGCTTTCCCTGTGTCCAATCTCCTGAAGGTGGCAATATAACCCAGTGGTCTAAGAACTCCATCATGCGTGTATTTTTGTATAATTAAGAAATACCCGTTGTTCCTCCCAGAAACCCAGTGAGCTCCTAACTTCCTGTAGCAAGCCAACACTGCCTCTGCTGCACTAAAATCCCAAACAGGGTTGACTGCCCTGCCAAGTACTACAAAGCCCAACTTGCTCAGGCGATAGTTGAAAAGTGCTCAATATTGCAAGCATCAGGCCTGGTGTCATTGTCCTAATTCTCAAGCTACCGCAAAATCATTTTGCAATGCACAAAATGGCCACCTTTATTGACAAGGATACGGAAACAATACCTGCCACCGTTCTTATATGATGAAAACTGAAGCCACAGAAAGCAGAGAGTAGATAGAGATGCATTTTTATAAATTATCTCAGTTTTAAAAGGGTCATTCCTATCATTCAGCAAGGGTTAGACTAATGCAGATTACATTTTCAACCCTGTCATTCTGAATATTTGTATCCATACTATTTTGTAGCGTGGGGTAAAGAGCCAGTTCATTA